CTTTCCCGACACAGACAGACCGGGTGCGGGACAGCGTTCACGCTTGGCATGCAATCCGTTGAGCGGCAACCGACGATGGCGGCTTCCAGCCGTTCACACAAAACAACCGAACTCATCTACGCGGGAATCGGGGAAAAAAACACAGAACCCCAAAAAAAAAACATCCATGTGAGGCCGGTTTGAAACTCTTTTGGGGTACCCGAAAAAAAAACCCTGGCCCGCTACACTTTCACCGCGCCGCGCCTCCCTTTGAACTCGCGCAGCCCGAAAAAAAAAACAACCTACAATTCCTTCCTTTTCCACATGGGCCCGCGCCTTGTCCCACACCTATTTCCCGAAACAGACAGACCGGGTGCGGGACAGCGTTACACGAGACCCGCTATCTCTTTTAAGAAGAGTATAGATAAATCGGTATGTGCACTACCCTGCGGTAGGCATCAAAGAGTGACCTAGCGCAGATTGTGTACAGTTTTGTAGCTTATGAGTGACAGGGATACCACTAGTGAGGACGACCGGATCTTGCGATCGGCTAAATGCTCGATTGCCCACGTGGCATTAGGACCCGAGGGTGATAGGTTACTGTTCCGCCAGCTTAGGGAGAGGCAGCAGCAACAACGGAGAGCTAGGGTAGCGGAGGCCAACAGGGCATTCGCAAGTGAAGCCGCTGCTTTAGCAGCCATGGCAACCGCTGCGCAACAGAGTTCCCAGACCAGCAGTTCAGGGGCCGTAGGGTCAACGGTCGCGCAGACCCTGAGTCAGTCCACTGGCGTCATGGCAAGCCAACCAATAGTGTTAACTTCCGATGAGATCGCCATACAGCAGGCAGCACTGCAGGAGGCGCAACTACAAAAGGCCTTAGGAGAGATAAAGGCGGAGAAGGAAAGGATGATTAGAAGAAGAGCCAGGATGCAGCGGAGACAAGCTGACGTTAGCGAGTAAGAGGGAATGGACCTGACGCACATGGATGCAGATGTGAGGACGTTGCGGACAGCCCTGCTAGGTGTTGTAAAGATGCAAGACCACCACGCGACTCTCCTTCAGGACATCCAACAGAGTTTGGCCTTGCTGGTCGGGCGAGCGCAGGCAGCACCATTGTTGTCCGGGCCCGGTGCCTGGCCCGTTGTACAACCTCCTCCTTATGTCCCACCGGTGACTGGGGTATCCCCATATGTCTCCCCAGCATCGGTCCAAGCCGTTTCCCTAGGTATGCCATTACCAGGAGGGTTCTCAACAGGTCCTAGTGTACAGGTTCCTGTACAGACAGTGTTCTCCCAACCTCCATCGCAGGTTGCCGTAAGCGGGCAGCCTGCTGTCTCGCAGCCTGCACAGTCGCAGGGTACACAGCCCCAACAGCAGATAATGCAGCAGCTTGGTCCCCAAGGTCCACAGCCTATAGGTGGACATGTGCTGGGACAAAGTCAGTGGGTTCCAAAGACGCCCATCGCTTCTCCTAAACCCTTCACAGGGGATGAGAGGGGTGAGGACCTCGACACATGGTTGAGGTCAGTGCCAGTCTACGTCAAGTGTAAACTTACCTTGCCGCACAAGGAAGTGTTTGTGGCTGCCTCCCATTTAGAGGGGAGTGCAGCAAGATGGTTGAGTGTTTTAGTGTAGTCGCAGGGATACGTTCATGACTTCCGCGCTTGGGCAGTCAACCAGAAGCTGGATGACTTCCTTAAGTTGGTGGAAGACAGGTGGCATGATCCTCAAGAGACTCAAAAGGCCACTGACGCGATCCTGACTCTACATAACAGGCAATTTAAGTCAGTAAGAGAGGCCACAGACGCAGTAGAGCGTCTGATCTGTGTCCCTGGGTGCGCTATGATCCCCAGGTTTTACTCACCTCCTACTTGAGATGCTTTCCTATGCCTCTCAGGAATCAGTTGGTAGGTGAGGCCAACATCAACATGCACAACTTCCCCTCGTTTAGCAAGAAGGCCCTAGACCTTGAAGCAAAGATAGGGCATGGTCAGACTCCCACGACGGATGGTAGGAAGAAGTCATTGCCTCCCAACTGGAAGGCGAAGGGCCGCATTATGTTCGTTGACAACAATGGTTTTACCATCGAGTTGGACGATGACTTCCAGGCGGGAGTGGGTTCAGAGGTAGGCAGTGTAGAAGCTTCGGAAGGTGGAGTAGTCGCTGCATCAATTCAGAAAGGTAAGGCGACCGGTAGACGCCGTGAATGTTCCCGGTCTAGGAGTCAAGTTGACCCCAACGCTCCTCCATGGGACAAAGCGGGTCTAACAGAGGACGTGTGGAGAGTCAGGTACACCAGGTAGGCCTGCATTCGTTGTGGTCAATATGGCCACAACCAATTCAAGTGCCGCAATAAGAAGGTGACCGAGAAGATCCCGCCTACGATGGGGCAGGCGTTGGGATCCTCCGCACCCGTTGGTAGCAATGTGGTCACCAGTTCTGGCACTGCTCCGGGAAACGCGTCGGGCCAGTAGGAAAAGCAGTTGTTCCTGCTAGGGTCGAGGTGGTGGACACACCCTTACCATCTCGAGAGATGACCCAAGCTACTGACTCCATTGTTGTCCCACAAACACATTCAGACTCATCGAGCCTCTGTTCGAAGAATGTGTTTGAGTCCTTAGAGGAGCTAGAGGAGGAGTGGTCCAAATCAGACCCACTAGCTTCTTGGACAGCATTGGCAAACCCCCCTAGGAGTGAGATGTTCGTTGGCGAGGTAGTCATCGGCGGCCATAAGGCCGGGGCCTATCATGACACTTGCTCGACTAGGAACTTCATTAGTCGCGCGTGCGTTGAGAGGCTGCGCTTACAAGGGCAAGTGCAGTGCCTGAGTCAACTTGTGCCAACAAACAGCGCATTGTAGTCCAAGACTACCTTAAGAACGGTGAGTGTTGTTTCTCGTATGCGGGAGGGGAACTGAGACATCGCGTTTCGTTCCTAGTGAGCGATGATCTCCCTATGGATGTCTTGTTAGGTATGTACTACCTCTCCGTTGCACAACCCCAGTTTGACTGGGGCCGAAAAGTGGTCAAACACACTTTGCCAGGTGGGGGGACCACCAGATTACGTAAGTTCAAAGCTATTAGTCTGATTGAGTCCTACGGATGCATGTGTGCGTCCGCGTTCTTTAACTATTATAAGGAAAAATCTGGAGGAGGGTATGTATCTAGTTTATGCCTTTGCAGCAGGCGAGCGAAGATAGAGGGAGTAGTTGCTAAATACCCTGATCTATTTGAAGAGTCGAAAGGTGTTGTTGAGAGGGAGGTCGTCCACGCAATAGAGATTATCCCAGGGTCTAGCATCCCGAAGGGTAGGATCTATCGGATGTCTCCAGGCGAGCTTGATGCGCTTCGTCGGCAACTCAAGGAACTCATAGAGAAGGGTTGGATCCGGCCGAGCGTCTCCCCTTACGGATCCCCAATCTTATTTGTGCCGAAGAAGGGGAGAACTCTGAGGATGTGCATTGACTATAGGGGCCTCAATGTCATCATTGTCAAGAACCGAGAGCCCTACTGCGCATCGATGACTTGCTAGATAGAGTGCAAGGGTGTCGGTACTTCAGTAAGATAGATCTGAAATCCGGGTACCATCAAATTGCAATTCGGATCGAGGATCAACACAAAACCGCATTTCAGACCAGGTACGGTCTATACGAGTTTGTGGTGATGCCTTTCGGCCTCTGCAATGCTCCTGGCACATTTCAGCACGCTATGAGTCGGATCTTTCATGACTACTTGGATAAGTTTGTCATCGTGTACCTCGATGACATACTTATTTTTAGTAGGACTGTCGAGGAGCATGTTGCGCACTTAGACAAAGTCCTTTGCCTCCTTCGGCAGCACAAGTTCAAGATCAATGGGGAGAAACGCGAGTTTGGTCACACCCGAATCTTGTACTTGGGTCATGAGATTTCCGCGGAGGGTTTGAAGCCCCATGACGTGAAGGTGGCCAGCATTCGTGACTGGCCGCGTCCTCAGTCTGTGACTCAGATGAGGTCTTTCTTAGGGATGACAGACTACTATCGCAATTTTGTGAAGAACTATAGTATAGTGGCCGGCCCTTTGACTGACCTGACTCGCCTTGACACCCCATGGGAGTGGACAGACAAGTGCGAGACTGCTTTCAGACATCTGAAGCATGCATTGACGCATCATGAGGTATTGAAACTTCCTGATCCTGACGAGCCGTTTATAGTAATGCTAGCCAATATGGCATAGGCGCCGTGCTCGTGCAGCAGGAGGGGCCAAAGTTGAGACCAGTCGAGTACATGTCCAAAAAGATACCCTCTCAGAAGTTGGCTAAGTCCACCTATGAGAAGGAGCTCTACGCGATTTACAAGGCACTAACCCATTGGAGACATTACCTCCTTGGGAGGTTCTTCATCGTCAGGACTGATCATCAGACCCTGAGATGGATTAGAACCCAGCCAGTGCTCTCCGATGCCTTGAAGCGTTGGATCGAAGTCATTGAACAGTATGACTTCGAACCCCAGTATCTCAAGGGGGAGTACAATAAAGTTGCTGATGCCTTATCACGTAGGCCTGGATTTCTCTGGTGCGCTGATTACTGAGTTCAGACTTGCGAACGATGTCACTCGCTCTTTGGTGGAAGCCTATTGCGAGGACCAGTTTATGTCTAAGATCATACACAGACTTGAGGCGAAGGACAAGGTGACTTCTGCCGAGTTTGAGCTGGTCAACGGTCTGCTGTTCCTCGAGAAGGCAGGGAATAAACGTCTGTGTGTGCCAGATAGAGAGTCTTTGCGTAGTTTGTTTCTAGGAGAGTGTCATGGTGCCACCGGACATTTTGGCAATAAAAAGACAGCAGCCAATCTGCTGCAAAGGTTCTAGTGGCCCACGATGATGAAAGACGCAAAGCTGTATGTGGAGACTTGTCATGTCTGTCAGAGGGACAAGCCACGTACACAGGCTCCTCTTGGGCTTCTAAAGCCCCTTCCGATTCCGGAAAGGCCTGGTGAGAGTTTGTCCATGGACTTCATGGATATGCTGGTCACCAGCAAGAGTGGAATGCGTTACGTCTATATCATTGTGGATAGATTTAGCAAGTACGCTAGGTTAGTCGCAATGCCGACAACAACTAAAACGGAGTATGTGATTAAACTGTTCAAAGAGAACTGGGTCAAAGATTTTGGATTGCCAAAGTCTTCAGTCAGTGACCGTGATGTGCGATTTACTAGTGAACTGTGGAAGACCGCAGCTGCAGAGCAGGGAACGCAGCTGCAGATGACATCAGGGAACCATCCAGAAGCGAATGGGCAAGCAGAGCAGTTAAACCGCGCTGTACAACACCTGCTGAGGGACTACATCAAGCCTAATCAGGTAGACTGGGATGAGAAACTTGCTCTCATCGCCAGCCTGTACAATAATGTTGTACACAGCGCAACGGGAATGAGCCCGAACAGCCTGCTACTGACGTTCAAGCCTAGACTGCCTTCGGATTTCCTACTACCTAAGAACCAGCCTTCTGCTGCACCAGGAACCTTAGAGTTCGCGTATCAATATGAGCATCTGATGCAGCTGGCTGTTGAATAGATGCATAAGGCACAGGCAGCGATGATAGAGTCAGAGAACAAGCACCGCCGCCCATCTACATTTCAGGTAGGGGAGAGAGTCTGGGTCAAGTCCTCAAAACTGGGACAGGAGCACGGGATCTCCCGCAACCTCACGCCACAGTACTTTGGACCATGGGAGGTCCTAGATGTCATAGGAGATGAACCGGATGGACCATCATATGTTATTCGCATCCCTGGTCACTTACGAACATACCCTGTTTTTCACGCCTCTAAGCTTACACCGTTCGAAGAAACTGATCAGTTTCCCTCTCGTTGCTCTATGCTGCCCCCAACCATGGACGGAGAGGTCGACATCGACGACATCATTGATCACAGGGAGATGCCAGTTCCAAGACCGACAGGCAGAGGACGTCCTCCAAAACCGAAGCTGCAGTATCGCGTTCGGTTCAGAGATCACACTGATCCTAAGGAGGATAGACGGTTTACACGGGAGGAACTGATGCAGACCGCTCCACAGGTTGTCGCCCACTACGAGAAGTTACTGCAGAAAGGAAAGCGCCAGATTGTTTAAACTTCTCAGAGGACTAGCGAAGTATGGAGGAGGGAATGCGAGGCACAGGGCCTCAATAAGCCCTACTGGGCCCCTATTTGCAACAGTGTCGGCCGCCCTAAGTGCAGGCAGGCTCGACAAACGACAAGAGGCCTATTTTGGACTACTTCGCAACTAGGGGGAAATTCAGGCAGTCGCGCAGCGCCAGTTGGTTGAAAGCGCCCAGGCCCTGGCCTCCTTTATCAAATGCATCTGAATCAGGCCCTGGGCAAGATACGCAGCATGGACCCAACTCAGGCTGCCGGCAGTTGGGCACGGGTAACTGTCACAGGCCTTGGGCCTGATCCGTTTGGTCTGGGGCTCAGCCTCTCTGGGCCTACCGGAAGCTTCTGGGCAGGGGCCCAGCGCAGCCAGGCTGCACGCAAGGCAGGCAGGCCATTTCCATTTAGGAAAGGGCCTACACACGGATTGGGCATTCGGGCACTGACTGCATGCTGCGCAAGCGCTGCTGCGCTAATGCTGGCCAGCGCTCACGCGCTCACGGGCGAGCTGGAAGGAGCAGGCAGCCATAGCCGAGCTGTGCTGCTGTATGCTGGATGGGGCGCATGGTGGTCCTTGGGTGCATGTGGCATCTGTGAGTTGGGGAACGAGGTTGTGAGTGATACGAGAGACATACCTCGTGCTTGAAGCGTACGGCATTGACCAAGATCTGCTCGTACTTCGGGGAGCTGTTGACGTCATCGGCGGCATTGTAGATTAGGCTAGATAGGATCTGCCATCTGTAGTCTGGGCGCCGAGCGCCAGATAGGATATCAACATTGGTTCTCCGTGGATGATGATGAGACTATTCCAGCATTGTCAACTATGAGCTTTTGCTGTGCTCTTATTTGGTGAAACTCGTGATGCAATTCTGCTATTGGTTCGAGGTCACAACTATCTGGTCTCATGTGTATGATGCTGTTTGATTTCTGAAGTTCACTATCGCTCATTTTCCTTGCAGTATCTTCAAAGTTCGAACTTCGAAGTTCAATTCAGAACTTCAGAGTCTTCAAACTGGCAGCACTGTCAGCTCTCTCTCTCTCTCTCTCTCTCTCTCTCTCTCTCTCTCTCTCTCTCTCTCTCTCTCTCTCTCTCTCTCTCTTGCCCTCTCCCTCCCTCTCTCTCGTCAGTGGGATGTCTTGCGCAGTTTAGATAGGGGTTCTGAGTCGGAGTCGTCCTCGTCCTCCGACGAACTGCCATCTTTCTCGGCGATGGATTCAGGCGACGGGAGCAGCCAGGAGGGCGCTTCGACAACGGGCAGCAGCGGCCGGCGGCACTTCGAAACGGCCGCTTTGAAATTGTGCGGGCCTCTTTGAAACCCGCTACCCCAAAAACCTGCAGTACATGTCTTGTGTCCGGACCTCTAGGCCCTGTCAACTGGGGTGAAACAACACCGAAAATTCACCCATTATTTTTCAGGGGGCGGCAGGACGCGAAAAACATCCTTGGCCGCCCCTTTTTTATTTTTGATGTATGCCCCATGTTGTTCCGGATTGTCTGGAACCCAGTTGGGACATCCGGCCGCTTACCATTGTACATACAGTGGGGAAAGGAAAACCAGTCCTCCGCACATTTGGCTGCAGAAGCCATTTCACTATCCGTGAGTACACGGGAGGCACTTCATCACCTTTAGTACAGGCCCTGTTCAGCAACAGAGCATCCTCCCGTCGGTAGTCAAGATGCGCAGGCTCGTCAAAGCACTTTGATAGTCTCACAATTTAATTAGATGACCATCATCTCATGGCAATTACACATTACATATCACATCTGCTCCACATGCATGATCTTGAGACGTGCGAGCTGTGTGCCATGACAAGCACCTCCAAGGCTACCCTTTGGGTTGCTGACTTAGGGAGACCATAGCCCACTGCTGAAGAAGAGAGCTGATGTATGCAGCAACAGTGAAAACTGTCGGAAAAAAAAGAGGGTGAGAACTGTCAGAACCAAGCAGAGAAAGCAGAGCATAGATGCCCAGTGAATGTCAATGGTAAACAATGTTAAACACCTAGGGCGGTTAAACCAAAAAGGTTATGAGTAGGGTAAATCCCATCTGTCCAATGGGCAACCCTGGGGCCAACTGTCGCCCAACTCCCCCACCTCATTCTCATCCACTCAAAAGGAATATGAACAGGAAAAAAAAAAAAAACCGACCAAATAAACAAACAACAAAGAGAGAGGACAGCATTCGCTGAGCCGAGAGAAGGTTAGCATCTCCCTCAATAAAGGCGGGAATAGTCTATGCACTATATGAGTATTATGAACACATGCGGTCTAGGCTACCACCCTCGGGTGGGTCCAACAAGACAAAAAAAAGAAGAAAAAAAACGAGAGAGAGGACTTCTCAGCGCAAGTCTTTCTGGTTCTCAGCCAAGCACAAAGAGGCAGCTCGAAGCAGGTGAATTGGCCCTTACCTGCAGTTCAATCTGGAGTTAAATGGTGACTGTCTAGTTGGCATTCATGCACTAGCCAGCCCAAGAGAACGGATTTGGCTATTGGCTATTTTACAATGTGAGTGCATGCTGGAAACGTTTCGGCTGGCCAGCTTACACTCTTCATGAACTTACCCGCTCAGATTATGGATCCCTGCAATGTGTTACCAACAGGCCAATTACAGTGTATTAGCGAGGTGGCTTCTCCATCACAGCCATTCCATGTCCCGACATATTGCAGCCTTATGGCCCTGATCCCCAGACCAAACCAAAACGGAGATAGCTTTCTTGGCCACACTGGTTCTAGCTTTCTGATTGGTTGTTTTCTCCGCATTATGGATCAACGGAGATGCTGATGTCCATGCAACCAAGGAACGTCAGTTTCCTTGTGCAGTGATACAGGGATAACATACCACGATGATAATAGTACAATACAATATTTCTGTTGCTAAAACACTTCTGTTCACTTAGGCTTTTTCCCCAAAGCTGTTTACAGAAGCTCTGAACAGAGCTCAATGAAGGAATGCCTCCGCTGACAATGGCAAGAAAGTCGCAGAGTTGCATTGCGCATGGGTAAGGGCTGCAAGGGTAGAATGTTGTTTTTCAAGAACTGGGAGCATGAAGATTCCCTCTTGCTGAAGTGCATGAGGACTCCACCAGAGCAAGATACTCCTCAATGGCCTTCCCTTCTTCTGCCATATCAACATCGTACTCTGAAAAAGGATCACCCGAGATGTCACGGGCAATTTCATCCTCCATCCCAACATCTCGCACTTCATTCATGGTTCCCTCGTCGTCCTCATCTGCACTCAAGAAATCTTCTTCCCTGACTGCTTCTCCGTCCCTTGTCTGACTTGCCTCGCCAGCACCTCCAGCTTCACTGCCACAAGTGCCCTCACCTGATGGGCCTCCTGTTGCTGCAGTTGAACTTGCATCAGTTGCCTTGGAGACAAGGCCCGCAAGTGCTGCTTCCACATCTCCCTCTGTCTCCCTCAAAGCCGACTTGGCTGACAGGGTGCAAAGAGGGTACAGACGGTACAAGATACACACAAAAAAAAAGAAATAATCAAGATTCACATCCACCCACGCATGCCCACCCACCCACACACACACACAAACACACACACAACCATATCATCATGCGAGAGAAGGTTAACGGACGCCCAAAAATTCAGACACCTTGTCATGCCATTTATAACAAAACCCAAGTGCACGGAAAATGAGTAATAGCGAGATGACAGAACCCAGATTGCACCATCACATTGAAAGCCAGAAAGTTCCACAGTGTCCAGAAAGTAGCATTGCACCAATAATACACCAATGGAGAATCGTAACACTGAAACCGAATGTCAATGAGAGCTTACTCTCGTCCTCATCAACATAAGAGTCCAGGCCCTTCCCCCTACTTGGCGCTTGGCGCCCAGACTACTCCCACACAGCTACTATCTGCCTACGAATTGACAATGCAACTGTTGACGGCAGCAGCCTGCGAAGTACACGAAGATGTCGCCCAATGCAGACCATCGCCGATACCAGGTATGAGCCCTCACATCATTATCCTCATCTCTCTCTCTCTCTCTCTCGTCTGACTCCCTTGTCTTCCCTTTGTACACCCGAAGACCACCACTGCGCCTTGCTGTTTATCCAAGCCCAGCCAGCTGTTATGATTCTGGTTGTTTGTTGTCTGATGTCCAACACTCACTCACATAGACTTCCAGGTATGACCATACATACACAGAAGGAGGGGGAAGAGGATAGGAGTATCACACCGCACAGGGAGAGAGAACACAGCGGAAGACTTGACCATGCGATATGACAGGGTACACTGAAAGTGCAATTCACTCCACTCAATCCTCACAACCAGTCATAGAGAAAAGCCGAGCAGATCACATCCAGGAAAACAATGAAACGATGACAGTCCAAACCCAGTTACACACTGTTTATTAAACTCAGAGTCTCGAATTGTCAGGATAACTTCAGTACTACAGTGCGCTGCTCAGAAATGAGCAGCGCTTCACTCCCCAACCCTGATTAACACCCGTAACACCCCTGAGCCCCTGAAACACCAAGCGCCACCCAAATTCAGCCTCCTGAGGGAAGCGCCACCCTGAAACAGGCCTCTGAGGCCAAGCACCACTCAGAGGATGAAGAAGAAGACCAGCGCCACAATATCTGATGATGACGAAGTGGCGGAAGACTTCCCAGATGGAAGTCTGCAGCAGCGCCCCCAAACCCTGACAAGATGACCTCTGAGGAAGAAGCTGCAGCTACCCTGGAACCCCACTCCGGAGGGGGGTTCAGCAGGGCACCAATCTCTCTCGCCTCCAGCAGACCTCGATAGCCCAGACCTCTGTCAGCCCCTACGTGCTGGCAGATCACAACGCAGGTCCCAGCTATGGCCGGCGCTCCGAAGGTCTGGCTATGCCTGTCTCCTTCCACGCTGAGCCGTCACCACCTCCGGTTCACGCGTAGCGCAGCAGCAATGTACTCGGTACCAACTGCCAAAAGCCCTGAACCGATGTGCCCATTCTATCTATAGACTACAACTAGCCTAAACTGGACCTAGACCGGACTGACTGACCGACCGGTACCATATCTGTTTCGGCCTCTCGGCCTCTACCGGACCCGGCTATAGGCTATAAGACCGTCTATCAGAATAGGCCCTTAGGGCCTGTCTGTCCTAGGGGTAGCCCGGGCCTGCTATTCACTGTTAGGGTAGCTGTAGGGAATCCTGTTACTACTGGGCCTGTATTTTTTTCCCGAATTTGCAGATATGTCCCTCATGAATTTCCCTCACAGGTAGGTATCTCGGTTAGCCCTCAGCCAAACAAAATTACGAATCTATCCTACCTATAGTACAGCCTCGACAGAGAGAGGCTACAGGCGACCAGAAAACAGCAAGTCATTGCAGACCTACCCTCCCCCAAAGCGAGGACCTCCGAGCTAGTGGCGTACGCGTGCAGAACGTCAAAGGGATTCTCCCTTCTGTGCTGCCTCGTATTTGAGGATAAATGACTTGGCAGTCTTCAGAAGTTCCTTGCGAGTAAACCAGCGGTCCTCAATATGCGGCTGGTACAAAAACTTCACAAGGTACTCCTTATCTGGACCTGTACCTGACTCATCCTCCACAGATTCCACCTCATACCCCTTGCCAGGGATAGGGGGACCGAACTGAGGAGGCCTGTCTGGGAATGCATCAGCTGACGTGAACGGCAACAACTTAGATGTATGGAAGACAGGGTAGGTTTGTAGATGCAGAGGGACATCCACTGTATAGGATGTCCGAATGGATCGGCTCCCACTGTATCTAAGACCTGTCATGGACCCATATATCGTGGCAACAACTTAGGCGAAATGTCCTCCTCTCGCGACAACTCAGAACTGAGTACCCACACCCAGTCACCGGTGTGAATAGTAGAAGGACGCCTGTGCTTGTTAGCCTGCTGAATCATAGACTTTTGGGCTTTCAGCAGGTTGGCATGGGCGCGCTCTATGTCCACACGGTAACGCCTGGTGAACTCTGCAGTTCCAGGTGTCAGCGTAGGGGTAGCCTTATTGATGATGTCATCGAGAGGTTGCCGCGGCTCACGACCCTAGTGCAACCGATAGGGTGTGAAGCCAGTAGAGGAGTGTACAGATGTGTTATACACAAGCTGTGCACGACTCAAATGGAGATTTCAGTCCTGCTGATCTGGACTGATCACAGGACGCAGCAGCTGGAAGAGAATCTTGTTCATTACCTCAGCCTGACCATTGGCTTCAGGATGACGGCCAGATGTCATATCCAGGCGAGAATGAAGGTAATCCCTGCAGTAGGATTGCCACTCATTGCTGCAAAACCGGGGATTCCTGTCACTGACGATGGAGGTGGGTGGTCCATGATGTGTAACCCACCTGTCAGCAAATGCCGCCTGCACGGCTGGCACACGAGCCTCAACTGGTAAGGGGATGAACTCTGCATATTTGGAGAGTCGATCCACACATACCATAACCTGACGCATACCATGAGGAGTAGTCCTACCCAAGTCAGTAAAATCAATGGACACTGACTGTGCAGGAGCATCAGGGATAGGTAGTGGTTTGAGTAGGCCAAGGGGAGGTCGACGTACAACCTTGTTCCTTGGGCATAACTCACAGGTTTCCACATAGTGCAGCATGTCACTCCTCATCTCCTTCCAGAAGAAGCGCTGCGACAGGGCTGCATAAGATTTGAGGGCACCAAAGTGACCACGAGCATCATGACACTCTGATATCAGAAGTGTYCTCAGCTTGCGGTCCTGGGGAATGCACAYGCGYTCCTCACCTCYGYTGCATGTGTACARCARAYCTGARACCAKAGTATATCCTRGTTCAGAGGCAKGATCATCCTGGAGATTCCTCACAATAGGCCCAAAAATCTCATCCTGGGGCAGCAAACGGGCAATGGTCTGACGAGTCCTCTCTCCAAATGAGTGAGTAAAGGAGATCAGGCAAAGAGCGCCAGGCCTACGAGAAAGGGCATTTGCTACTCGATTGTAGCAGCCCTTCTTGTGTCTCAGTTCAAATTCAAACATGTCAATGAACTGGATGTAGCGAGCAAGCTTGTCATTCAGTTCTCCCTGGGACTTCATCCACTGAAGGGTGGAGTGATCTGAGAAGATCTTGAAGTGCCTACCCAGGAGGAAGTGCTTCCAATGCTTGAGCGCTGACCCAAGAGCATAAAGCTCTTTCTCATAGGTAGAGTCCTGCAACTTCTTCGTTTTGATATTTTTGCTCATATATTCAATAGGCTGTAGACCATTCCCATCATCCTGTTGAAGTACCGCCCCTACACCATACTAACTAGCATCAGTAGTAAGCACAAAAGGCAAGGTAGGGTCAGGTAGCTTCAAGACAGGGGCACGAATCAAGGCCTCCTTGAGACGTGTGAAAGCCTCCTGACATTCTGATGTCCAGAGAAAGGAAGTGTCTTTCTTTGTAAGATCAATCAGGGGTGTTGCAATCAAAGAGAAGTTCTTAATGAACTTCCTGTAATAGGATGCAAGCCCCAAGAAAGACCGGACATCACGAATGTTAGCAGGCCGCGGCCAGTCCTGAACTGCAGCAACTTTCGTTGCTTCAGGAGCCAACCCCTCTCCAGAAATGACGTGACCCAGATAGACTACAAAGGAAACCCCAAAAGAGGATTTCTCCATGTTAATCTTATACTGGTTATCACATAAGGCCTGGAGGACTAGAGCCAGATGCTGCGCATGCTCCTGGACAGAACGACTGAATACCAAGATATCATCAAGGTAGACAACTACGAACTTGTCCAGGTAAGGCCTGAGTGTTACGGACTTCGCCAGGGCTCGATCCCTGGTCTATCTTTTGCTGTTTCGGCTGCATCCCGTTTTCGGCCTGGCACCCTTTTTCCAAACCCCTCCTTTGGTACCGTAGGATTTTGGACAACTGGCGCCATGCTGCAATTCGGGCGCCACTTTCAAATACTGCATTTTTTAGTTCTGCCCTCG